GGTTTTGGGGTCCCACCCCCGATTTTGGAGCCGTTTTGGGGTCCCAGCTCTTTTTTGGGGCCAATTTCGGGGTCCCGGTTCCGTTTTTGGGGTCCCAGCCCCGTTTTGGGGCCACTTTTGGGTTCCAGTCCAAATTTTGCAGTTCTAGTTCAGTTTTTGGGGTCCCAGCCCGGTTTTGGGGCCATTTTTGGGTCCCAGGTTAGTTTTTGGGGTCCCAGCCCAATTTTAGGGCCGTTTTTGGGGTTCCCAGCCCGGTTTTGGGGCCGTTTTTGGGGTCCCAGTCCAATTTTGAGGCCATTTTTGGGGTCCCAGCCCAGTTTTGGGGACGGTTTCGGGTTTCAGGGCCATTCTTGGATTTTTGGGGCCGGTTTTGGGTTTTTGGGGCTGTTTTGGGGCTGTTTTTGGGGTTTCGGGGCCGTTTTGGGGCCGTTTTTGGGGTTTTTGGGGCCGTTTTTGGGGTTTTTGGGGCCATTTTTGGGGTTTTCGGGGCCGTTTTTGGGGTTTTGGGGCCGTTTTTGGGGCCGTTTTTGGGTTTTTGGGGCCGTTTCGGGTTCGGGAACAGAGCCCCCATTGAGGCCGGTGACGTCACCGCCCCTCCCCCCGCCGGGAACAGACCCCGGAGTGTCCCCGGCCCCTCCCCCACCCCGGGCGCCGAGGGGGGGAGGGGAGGGGGCGACTTTGGGGGGTCCCGAATTTGGGGTCCTGAATTGGGAGTCTCGAATTTGGGGTCCTGAATGTGGGGGAGAATTTTTGGGTCTGAATTTGGGGGTCTGAATTTGGGGGTCCTGAATTGGTGTCGCTTTTTTGGGGTCCTGAATTTGGGGGAAATTTTTGGGGTCCTGAATTTGGGGTCTCGATTTTGGGGTCCTGAATTTGGGCTCTCGATTTTGGGGTCCTGAATTTGGGCTCTCGATTTTGGGGTCGCTTTTTTGGGGTCCTGAATTTTTTTTTTTAATTATTTTTTTGTTTTCCGATCCCGATTTGGGGATTATCGAATTTGGGGCGGCGATTTTGGGGTGTCGATTTTCGGGAGGCTGATTCGGGGGTTCGGAGTTTGGGGCTCCGCGGCGACGGCGATGACGTCACACCGATGACGTCACACCGATGACGTCACACAGATGACGTCACACCGACGACGTCGCACCGATGACGTCACGGTGACGTCACCGTGTCCCCTGAGGGTTCGCGATCGCCGAGTGGGCAGAGCAGGGGACAGTGACGATGTCACACTGATGATGTCACAGTGATGACATCACGGTGATGATGTCACACCGATGATGTCACAGTGATGACGTCACGGTGACGATGTCACATCAATGACGTCACACTGATGATGTCACAGTGATGAAGTCACAGTGATGTCACCCACTGTCTCTCAGGCTTTGTGTTCACCGAGTGGGCGTAAAAGGGGACACTGATGACGTCACAGTGATGATGTCACAGTGACAATGTCACAGTGCTGATGTCACACCGTGACGTCACCAGGGGCAGTGACGCTGATGATGTCACAGTGATGACGTCACACCGATGATGTCACCGTGACGTCACCGCAGCCCCCGCAGGTTTCGTGTTCCCCAAGTGGGCATACAAGGGGGCAGCGATGACGTCACAGGGATGATGTCACAGTGATGATGTCACAGTGATGATGTCACAGGGCTGACATCACCGATGACGTCACTGTGATGTCAGCCACTGTCTCTCGGGCTTTGCGTTCTCCGAGTGGGTGTACGAGGAGACGCTGATGATGTCACAGTGATGATGTCACAGTGCTGACGTCACCGATGACATCACCGATGACGTCGCCGCCCCCCGCAGGTTTCGCGTTCCCCGAGTGGGCGTACAAGGCGGAGTCGAGCCCCGGCTCGCGGCAGATCCAGCTGTGGCACTTCATCCTGGAGCTGCTGCGGCAGGAGCGCTACCGCGAGGTCATCGCCTGGCAGGGCGACTACGGCGAGTTCGTCATCAAGGACCCCGACGAGGTGGCGCGCCTCTGGGGCGTGCGCAAGTGCAAGCCGCACATGAACTACGACAAGCTCAGCCGCGCCCTCCGGTACGGGGGCACCCAAAAACCCGAGACTCGGCACTTTCCCCGCTTTTTTCCCGTCTATTTGGGGGTTTTTACCATTTTTCCCCATTTTTTTCCCATTAATTTTGGGGTTTTTCCCATTTTTCCCCTTTTTTTCCCATTAATTTTGGGATTTTCCCCATTTTTTCCCATTAATTTTGTGATTTTTCCCATTTTCCCCATTTTTTCCCAATTTTCCCATTAATTTTGGGATTTTTCCCATTTCCCCCCATTTTTTCCCAATTTTCCCATTAATTTTGGGTTTTTTCCCATTTTTCCCCATTTTTTCCCATTAATTTTGGGATTTTTCCCATTTTTTCCCAATTTTCCCATTAATTTTGGGTTTTTCCCCATTTTTTCCCATTAATTTTGTGATTTTTCCCATTTTTCCCCATTTTTTCCCAATTTTCCCATTAATTTTGGGGTTTTTCCCATTTTTCCCCATTTTTTCCCATTAACTTTGGGATTTTTCCCATTTTTTCCCATTAATTTTGGGATTTTTCCCATTTGGGGTTCCGAGGTGGGATTTGGGGTTCCCAGGGTGGAATTTTGGGGTTCCCAGGTGGAATTTTGGGGTTCCCATGTTGGATTTGGGGTTCCCAAGGTGGAATTTCGGGGTTCCCCGGTGAAATTTGGGATTCCCAGTTTAGATTTGGGGTTCGCAGGTGGAATTTTGGGGTTCCCAGGTGGAATTTGGGGTTCTCCGGTGAAATTTGGGGTTCCCAGGTGGAATTTTGGGGTTCGCAGGTGGAATTTTGGGGTTCCCAGGTTGGATTTGGGGTTCCCAGTTTAGATTTGGGGTTCCCAGGTGGAATTTTGGGGTTCTCAGGTGGGATTTGGGATTCCCAGTTTAGATTTGGGGTCCCCAGGTGGAATTTTGGGTTCCCAGGTGGAATTTTGGGGTTCCCAGTTTAGATTTGGAGTTCCCATGTGGAATTTGGGGTTCCCAGGGTGGAATTCTGGGGTTCCCAGTTTAGATTTGGGGTTCCCTGGGTGGAATTTTGGGGTTCCCTGGGTGGAATTTTGGGGTTCCTAGTTTAGATTTGGGGTTCCCAGGGTGGAATTTTGGGGTTCCCAGGTGGAATTTTGGGGTTCCCAGGTGGGATTTGGGGTCCTCAGTGGGCGTGGCCATTTGCTTGTGGTGGGCGTGGCCATTTGCTCTCTCAGTGGGCGTGGCCACGTCCCATAGTGGGCGTGTCCATTTGCTCTCAGTGGGCGTGGTCACGTCCCACGGTGGGCGTGTCCATTTGCTCTCAGTGGGCGTGGCCACGTCCCACGGTGGGCGTGGCCATTTGATCTCGGGGGGCGTGGCCATTTTAACGCGGTGGGCGTGGCCATTCGCGCTCGGTGGGCGTGGCCATCTCCCCGGTGGGCGTGTCCCCAAGCCCCGCCCACGCCCCGCCCCCTCAGGTATTACTACAACAAGCGGATCCTGCACAAGACCAAAGGGAAACGATTCACCTACAAATTCAACTTCAACAAACTGGTGCTGGTCAACTGCCCCT